TACTGCATCACTAATATCAGTTAGATCTTTGCCATTGTCTTCAATGAGTGTAGGATTAAGCACTGAATGAATAAGTCATATCACTAAAAAACTAATGCTGATAATTTAAAGGCCAGAAATTCCAGTCTGCATCCCCAGAGCTCCCAGCAAAGCCAGTGGGAATGTGAGAGATAATACAAAGAAGCAGGACTGGGCTCTAATGGCTAGATTTTTTAAGGTATATGTTCAGCTAACTCCCATTGAAATCAATGGGTGTTAGGCTCCTAAATGCCTTGAAAAGTCAGACCCTAATTCCATAAGGAATTCAAAACGTTCACAATTGTAAATCCGTCCAGAATTGTAAATAGTCAGTTACAGTTGGACACCTAACTCTTGTGTGGCCACATGGTTAATAAAACATGAATGAAATGTTTGGTATTTAGGGGCCAGGTGTTCATATCATGAAAACACTCCTTTAAATCGCCATTAACTGAAAATTTTCTTAAATAACTTGTATTTACATCTGTTTGCTTTATTTCATTTCTTTAGGGAAACATCTTGGAAAAATCAGTAAGTTCAATTTTTCTCCACATAGAACCTTTTCCATTAAGTTGTTTGCTGTTTTATTTATTATTATTTATGATGATTATTATTAAAGAGAGATCAATTTGAAAATCACATGAAATATCAGTGATAATGTATTGATAATGATTCAGTATGTGGGTAAGAGGAAATCACAAAGAAAATGTTCTTTGAAATGTATCTTCTCTGAGGGTGAAATCCACGTGGTGCTGGAGGCACCATGACATGGGGAACCAGGAGGACTCTGTGCCCTCAAATGTCCTCTTGCCTCATCTGACAAGTAAATAGTTTGGTCCAGCGTAGATCTAGTGTGTAATTCTATTTGAGGAGGAGTTGTTCATTTTTTCATTTAATGTTAAAAGGAAATTGGGATGAGATTAAGCCTGATAAATTTCACCCCAACAAGTAATATAAAAAGTTATACACAATGTTCAGCTTTTACAAAACTCAGACAACCATATATCCAAGAGAAAAATGCTCCTAATCATAATTTATATGTATTTCTGGGTATTTTTTTTTTTTTTTTTTTTGGGGAAACGTGATACAGAAATCATTAAGTGTTGTGCCCTTATCTCCAACAAGGAAAACTTTGTACAAATTTGTCTCCTCGTGTTTATTTTTTAAATGAGAAAAACATGAATGCCCTGATGCTGCACCACTAACATCAGTTAGAGCTGTGCCTTTGATCTCAACGAGTGTAGGATCCAACACTAAATGCACAAGTCACATCACTAAAAGAATAATGCTGATAACTTTAGGGTCCAATATTACATTCCGTGCACTCCTAATGCTCCCATCAAAGTGAATGGGAACATGGAATATGCAAGGAAGCGGGAATGGACTCTAAGGTAGCTTTCTAAAGGTATTCGGACACCTAATGCTAATTGAAATCAATGGGAGTTAGCAACCTAAATACCTTTAAAAATCTGGCCCTAATTCCCTAGGGAATTCAAAACTTTCAGAACTAAGACCATGCAGATAATCAGTTATTTTTTGATATTTTACTCTAGTGTAGACACAAAATGAGCCCAAAGGTCTACACCACAATTTTACAGGCCCGCAACCCATGCCTTGTGAGCCTAGTTAGCTGATGTGGGTCAATTGGGGGTATTCAATTGCTGTGTAGCCACACCCTATGGGACTTCACAGGTGCTCCGCGCCCTGCTTGTGGGTTGGAAAGGGACTCTTCTCCCCAGACCTCAGTTGTTTCCCTGCCCATAGCCTGGATCAATGGGTTTGTGAGGGACAGGCTGCCTGATGGGAGGTAGATTCCATCCTAGAAGAGAAGCAATTAATCTGTATTTGTTTCTGGTTCTGTGTTACCTAGATGATCTTCAACGAGAACTTGGTAAGTGTTTCTATTTCTCAAATGCAGCTTTTTCCTTGGTGTTGAAACTATCTCTGGATCTATCGATCTCTCACCCTTCTGCCAGGTGGAGTCGGCAGCAAGACGGGCTGGGTTCAATGTCAAGGGTTCCTCTTAGCAATACAAACTAGAAAACACTTGAGACCCCACCCAATAATCTAGGAAAATGTAACTCCTGGGCCTTTTTAAGGCTATAGAGAGGCCCCTTTAAGGCTTATAGCAGCACAGCTTTACCACTGCAGCTGCCCTGTAATCGGGTCTCCCGTGTAGCCGCTCTATGCTGACCTCCCACCAGCATAATTCAACCACCCCCGACGAGCGGCAGTAGTTATGTCGCTGGGAGAGTGTCTCCTGCCAACATAGCATTGTCCACACCAGTGCTTTTGTTGGTGAAACGTATGTTGGTCGGGGGGGGGCTTTTTTTCACACCCTGACTGACAAAAGTTTTACTGACGACAAATGCTGGTGTAGACACAAGATAAAAAAGAAAACGTCCCACTCACCCGCCCTGAGTCTGGCTGTAACAAAAGAAAACATTTATTACAAGGCAAAGGGAACGCAGCATTGTTTTGGGAAAACACCACAGCCATGATTCGAAAGCATGTAACCCAAAGCAAACCCCCACCCCACAGTACATTGGGCAGTGTCCTTTGCCTCAGTTTCCCAACTTGCCATGTGAAAATCCAATGAGGGAATGACCTATAACACACCACTCCCCTCTCCCACCACTGCAGCCCATTCGCAGTTGGTTGTTCTTAATCAGCCAAGACCCAGAGTTCAGAGCTGCCCTCACATGGCTTCACCTCCCACCCCTGAAAAGCACGTGTGTGTAGGGGGAGCATTGAGCAAGGCGTACACTGTTGCCTCCACTTCTGCAATTGGCTTGCTGCTACTATCACTGTGTCACCACTAGCCGTAGGTGCCGACAGCCCCGGAGCACCCACGGGGAAAAATTCGCGGGTGCTCTGCACCCACCCAGAGCCAAGCTTCCCCTTCCCCCTCCCCCCAGGGCATCTCGCCCACTGGTGGCCTGGCTGACCAACTCTTTCCCCCTTCCTCCCAGTGCCTCCCGCCTGCCGCAAATCAGCTGTTTCACGGCACTCAGGATGCTCGGGGGAGGAATGGGGATGCGGCACACTTGGAGGAGGAGGTGGAGAAGAGGCAGGGTGGGGCCGGGGACTTCAGGAAGGGAGTGGAATGAGGTGGGGTAGGGGGTTTTGGGGAAGGGGGTGGAACGGGGGAGGGGCCTGGGGTGGAGCAGAGAGTTGAGCACCCACCGTCCAGAGGGGAAGTTGGCTCCTATGCCATTGGCTGCTCACTGCCTCCCATCCCTGAAAAAGTGTGAGGGACATCAAGCAATGCCACTGCTGCCTCTGGAACTTGCTTACTGCGGCTGCTGTCGCTGCCACCACTGGCTGATGCCTCTGCCACTGGTTCTGCTGGTTTTTCTGGTGCTGTTACCTCTGCTACCGCTCAGCTCCACTGCTGTTATCAGGGCCGCTGCTGACCCCCCACTGCCACTTCTGCAATGGTGCGTTCTGAGGTTCCACGACCTACCCAGGGATTCCAGCAGGCCGTGGCTGTTGCTGTGTCTCCATTGTTCGCTGCAGCCCTGTCCCCGCACTAGGTCTATGATCTGGCCCCTAGGCCTGCTCATCAAGGGTTTCAGCTCTTGCCATCACTGAACTGGAACAAAGGCTCTCCATGGAGTCTAATCAGCTCTGGCTTTAAACACGGGAGAGGGGAGGGGAGGGTCCAATGGTACCTAGGACTCTCTAAGGGGAATTCATAGCATCAGGCAGGAACACGTGTCTCCACCCCCTCTGATTTTCACTGGGTTTTGGTATCTCTATCCCCTGCTTCGCCAGTGAGCTTTAATTTAGGGTGTCACTGTGACATACCCAGGGTACAATCCAGACTAATGGGTACCTGTGTCACCCCCGCCCTGCAACCTGGGTGCCCTCTACAATGCACTGCCTCTGTAGCCTCTTACCTGGACACCTCACAAACAGCCTCCACAGGGGCTGGATTCTTTAATTTATTTGTAGATTAAAACTAAGGCCTTAAACTGGCATCAGAAGGGGACTGGGAGCCAGTGAAGGGACTGGAATATGGGCCTGATGTGTCACTGTGGCCTAAGCCCTGGAGAAGGCGGCAGCTGCATTAGGTACCTGCTGGAGCCTTCACACTCAGCTGTGGATTCAGTGATCTACAGTAACCCAGCCTGGCGGTGGCAGAGACAGGGATCACTGTGGCCAGATCCTTGCCCACAGGAAGATGCAGAGTTTCCTAGTGAGCTGAGATCTTTAGACACTGATGCTACCTGGTCACCTAGGCCTAGTGAAGGATCACATAGGGCCTGAGTCTTTGCACCTCGACTTTGGTGAATGGGGCTGTAGAAATTCAATGGAATGAAGGGAAGAGTCTCATCTAGTTCTTCAAAATGTGCCCCTGCTTCTGAATCACTTTACTCTTGCCTGGGTTCAGCTTAAACCAGCTGCTCTTCATCCCAGAGCCGTGGTGTTCCTGCATTTGCTCAGCTGAGTTCTCATCCCTCGCTCTGTTTCTCGTTTCAGACTGGAGAAGAAACATCATCTGCCCAGGTAACTACAGCTCCTATTGCATCGATATCCAAAGCTCCCCCTGCCCTGAGACTTCCAGTCCCTTTTTCTCATACAGTTAACATGTTGCAGTAGCTCTTTGGGGCAGGGACAGCTCTGTACTAATGTGAAAAGACTCAAGGTTTGTGTGGCTAACGCTGTGATTTTGGGTGCCTAAGGAGCTCTTTTGTGCACACTGGAAGCTCAGAGGATTCTCAGCGAGATGCTGTTAAAGTCCCTGATGGGGCTGGAGGCTAAGCGAGGGAGGAGGGAACAAAGGACTGGGCCAGGGCCAGGTTAATGTCTAGGCTGCTCGTTTCAATTTTCAGAAGCCCTAACAGGGCTGCATGTGCCCAGACAGCTGCTGCTGCTACTCTAGCCATGGCACAGGTACATGGTAGCTGGCAGGGGTTAGCACATTCACTGCACACAGACACCCATTGGTCACACACAGAGATAGAGACCCCATCACACACTGACTGCAACCCACAAAAAACACGGCAGGATCCAAGCTGCATGAGAAGCCAGGGAAGCCAGAAAGGGCCCAGAGAGAGCCAGTGTGGGCTCTGGAATTCCTTGGGGAAGATGGGGCAGGAGAGGAGTGGTATTGGGAGAGGTAAGGTTAGGGAGTGGGAGAGGACTAGAGGGATGCACAGGGGATTTCGGGAGTGGTCCCTGTGGGGAACGATTCTTCTTCCAGGGGACCACAGCTGAGGTTGGCTAGTCAAGTCCACTGAAGACTGTGAGGCCGTTCAGAGGGACCTATCCCCCTTCCTCCCCCAAGCTGTGTGAAAGGGAAACATGGTGGGATATGAAATGCACTGGTGATAAATGAACGTACCATGGAGGGAAAAAATTGAACATCTCATTCCCATTACAGGGTTTGAAAATAAGTGCATCAGCAGCTCAGTAATGTAACCTGGAATTCACTGTGACTAGCTTGACAAAAACCTCTCTCACTGCGCAGCTCTGGGGAAAAGGTCAAACAAAATATGAGAATCCATAAAAATGGGATGGTGAACATGGAAATATTATATAGCCATTCTATCAATGTGGTTTGCCCTTATCTGGAGTTCTGTGTTGGGTACCGCTCACCCATCTCAGAAAGGGCATTGAAGAAGAAAAGGGGGCACAGAGAAAGGCAATGAGAATTCAGCATGAGGAGAGATTGAAAAAATTGGGAATTTTTACCTTTAAAAGAGAGGAGCGAGAGGGGACATGATACAAGTACAGAATATTGCACAACGCCCCTGAACAGAATATGATTTAGGCTGCAATGTTGAAGACTGGATAGTTAGGAAATGCCAGTTTTATGCCTGCCTGTACATCCTCACTTCTCACCCCTTGGGCTTCCATCCTGGGCAGTGAAAGAATGAGGCAGGGGTCCTGTGGCAAAAACAGTATGTGAGCATGTAATTGGTGATTGTATCATCATACTCACACGGGACAGTGGCTAATGGTCCAACCCCAGGGACATAACATGTTGCCAGAGAACACAACAGAAGGGTAGTGAGAGTGGAGAAAGGAGCTTTACAGGCAATAACAGGTACAGACACTGGGAACTGGTGAAATAATTTCAGTTCTTCCAGCTCCTTGTGCAGCTCTGGGCTGTGGTCTTTGCAATCAGTGTGTGACGGGGCCGATACAGCATCGGGCCAAACCTAGGGGTGTATGTGTGTGTTAACATGTGTCTGCTGAGTTAGTCCGGTCTTTGCCAGTGTCAGTCAGGAAGATGAACCATCCAGCTTTGGAAATTAACAAGACAGCAGAGGAATGTAAGCAAAAGAAATGGACGCACGTTATTTGCATTTGCTCATTTTTGCACCACAACCCACATGCTTGCCAGAGAGTTTTCTTTATCTTTTGCTTGTGCTAAGCATCAGTGCACTAAGAGAGACATCTATGCTGGCCACACACCCAACTCCGAAACTGAACGGCACAGGCTGGGACAGGACAGATTGGTCAGTGAAGGAGGTAAAAGCCTGAGAAGTAGGTCAGGGTCAGTTCACTGGGGAAGGGTGACATGGACATGAGTTTGGTGGTGGGGAAAGAAGACTGGACTTAAACTCCCAGGATCCTTTGGAAAATGGGGCCTAGGCACTCCATGGATTTTGAAAATTGTACCCAAAGCCAACAAGTTCATGCTCATTCTCTATCTTTAGTTAAGGAGGGCGACCCCTGACCCCTGCAGGGACAAAAACCTGCTACAGTGGACAACTTGGAAGGGAAAATATCAAATCTTCTCCTATGCCTCAGCTGCCCTCTGGTCTTTATATCATATTCACAGGAGCAAAAAAAAAAAAACCCCTTTTCTCCCACTCAGGGCTGCCGATGGATGGGTGGGGGGAGGCAAAAGGGGCAACTGCCCTGGGGCCCGGAGATTATTAAGGGACCAGGGCCCCTGGCCGCTGTGGCTGCGGCCAGAGTCCCAGGCCCTTTAAATCACCGCCAGAGTCCTGGGCGGCAGGCCGGTCAGCACTGCAGGGTTGGGTGAGGGAAACTATCCCTCAATTCAGTTGGCAGCCCTGCTCCCATCCCTTTCAGAATTCCCCTTCATGCCTGAGGCCTACTCCCATTGAATTCCAGGGGAGATTGGCCAGCAACATGAATGGCAGCCGGACCAGGTCTTTGTTAGCAGGCTTGCAATGTCACTTCAGAGTGTCAGAAGGGAAAGTCTAATTTATGATTATTAATCATTATAAAAGTGATAGAAATTCTGCTAAGGAAAAAGAGTCTGTTAAAATTGTAGCCACTGACAGAGAAATGCTCACACGTGTATTTGGGGATTGTTTACTTTATGCTA